CCTCCGTCATGAAGGGGTTAAGCACCATAGATTGTTGATCCAGGGAATATCCAATTGCCTTATGGGATCAGGAAGGAATTTTTTCCCCTGTTGGAGCAAAAATTGAACCTTGTTTTATATGTTTTTTTTGCCTTCCTCTGGATCAACAGTGGGCATAGCGTTCTGCTTTAGGTTTTTCTTCTCTTTATTAGGTTGAACTTGATGGACTGGTGTATTTTTTCAACCTAACTATGTAACTTCCAACCTCACGTGGCCAGATCATTTTTTGCCATTTTTTCACACTTTTGCCATATTTCACTACTTTTTACTTACAGCTTTGAAATTTTGTAAAAGACCACCGCCCACCCAAACCATACATTCTCTGGAAGCACAGACCCGGGAGAATAAAAAAAGATGGAGCTGCCAATATTTTAGGTCCTGCGACAGTTGTGCTAATGTTTATTAATAAAATTTTATTACTTTTATTTAAATGATCAAAATATTATTTTTTTCGATAAAAATACTTCAAATTCATTATTAGCACAAACACAACTCAACTCCAAAATTCCTACTAAAAGCTAGATTAAAGATAAAACTGCACCGAGCTCATAAATATTTGGACATTTTAAAAAGGGTGCCTTTATGCAAAACGGAAGGTATGCAAAACTGCAAATAAGCAACTCATGCTAATTCTGGTAAGCTTCACCTATGCGTTGTGTTCACGGCTGATCTGCAGTGCACGAGCTGCATTGGTGTGCCTTGTGATAAAATGATCCAGGCATACATTTTATTGCAACGCACCGATACTAGTAGCAGTGCCGATGCCAAGTACTCGTACTCGCCCAAATGCTCCGATGCCTAGCCCGATACATCCTGTATCAGGAAGCCAGGCAGTGCCTCATTACACGCTGCCTGGCTTCCTAATTGGTAGGGAAGCTGGCCAATCAGGAAGCCGGGCACCGTGTAGGGCTTGTTCACACCAAGCGCGTTCCAGGTGCAGAGCAGAGCTGTTACAGACCGGATCAAAACTGCGGCCAATGTATTCCAATTATATTTTGGGCTCTACTTCACACCACAGCGTTCAGTTCCAGAGCATGTAAAAATACTGCAGTAAGCCCTATTTTACCGGCTCTGGAACGCATGCAAACGCACTGGAACCTCATTTTAAAACGTAGATTTTTTTTAACCAAAAACGGCCCGGAACGCATCAAAAACGCAGCACAACCCCCTGCACTACGTGGGCAGATACTCATGCAGATCTGGTGTGAAGAAGCCCTAAAAAGGAGTCATTAGTGGTACTTGCTTACGCTGTAAAGCTAGTTGCTGGGTTCACAACAATTAACATACAACCCTACAGCTGAAGTGCTTTGTGCATTTTTGTTAAGAATGTTCTAAAACAGGTCTAGCCGGTGTTTAGCTAGGTCATGCCAACAGATATTTCCAGTCATTGTACTGACAGAGCGGACAGGTTATGAAAAGCCTCGTCACACTCGAATAGTTTACAGTGTGACAAGGACAGATTTAGGCATCCCCAAGACTGTAGCTTTGGGCTTTTGGAAGATGACAACCAATAAGGTGTACAAAGGGTGACCTAGATAGACGGGTGTGCTTTGTGGGAGGCAACCCCAGGTGGAATTGTATCAGATGGCTAGGGCCTAAACATCAATTACCAGTGCACAATGCAACACTTAAGAGTGACCCTGTCCTTCATTTTATATCTTCCCAAACGTATACCCTATAAAAGAAGACTGAAAATACTTAACTTTTCCGATACCCCTGCACTGCCAAACATCGCTCCAGTCAGTGGCAATCCTCCCCTGAAGTCCAACAGGACCCTACTAAGAGGCACGGAGGAGCTCAGCCATGAGGAAAGATTAACTGAACTGAACTGAATCTGTTCTCTCTGGAGAAGAGGCGATTAAGGGGGGACATGATAGATAGATAGATAGATAGATAGATAGATAGATAGATAGATAGATAGATAGATAGATAGATAGATAGATAGATAGATAGATAGATAGATAGATAGATAGATAGATAGATAGATAGATAGATAGATAGCTTGGTGCCAAATTATTCACGTTAAGGTCACTGCAAAGGGGGCACTCTTGGGTCTCCATGTTTCCCTGCAGCTCTCAATGGTTCCTCCTGCTTACCTTTACATCACTACAGGGCCTGTACTGCCAAACACCACTCCGTTCAATAGCAATCCCACCCCGAAGTCCAATAGGAAACAGACACTTCTGGGAATGTCGATCTCCGGGGTTCCCTCACAGCTTTTACCATTTCCACCTGCTGACCTTCACGTCACAACAGAAAACAGCATTGATAAGACGGTCAGCAGGAGGAAGCAGTGAGAGCTGCGGGGGACGCAGATCGACATTCCCACAAGTGTCAGCTTCCCAGTGGACTTCAGAAGTCAATTTCTATAAAATGGAGTGGCAGTAGGATTTAAACCAATGACAAGGTCACTTTACAGTAAAACTATATTTCAAATCAGATACTATGAAAGTGAAAGACTAACAAATATTTATTAACCACTTGCGTCTGGAGCAATTTCTTACTATTTGCACACACAATTTTTTGCTAGAAAACAGCTTAAAACCCCCAAACAATTATATATTTTCTAAACACAGAGGCCATGTAGAATAAAAAAAAATGCTAGTTGCAATTTTTTATGTTGCACCTTTTTTGCGCAAATGTTTATCAAACAGGTATTTTTAGGATAAAATGCACTAAAATGAAATTTAGTGCACAGAAACAGGATAGAATGCCCAATTTTTTGGTAAAATATAAAAGACAGGGTCACGCCGGGTAAATAGATACCAAACATGTCAAGCCTTAAAATTGCATGCGCCCGTGAAACCGCAAAACACTGCAATACCCCAAATTTCCCATAGGGGGACACTTTTACCGCTCATCTGTTGAGTGCCAACAGTGATTAATGGCTCTAGAATTATTGCTCTCATTCTGACGTTCACGGCGATATGCAACACCGAAGCGTGTTTGTGTATGTATGTGCATGCACATGGGGGGAGGGGGACTTTAAACATTTTTTTAATATATTACTTTTTTTAAACACTAACTTTATTGCCATCACATAGGGGGAAAACAATCCCCCCATGTAATAGCAGATAGAGTGTGACGGGTCCTCTTTATAGAGGCATCAGGGGAATTTCAGACCCGATTCCCCAGTTCTTCTCCTGGCTATAAGAGCCGGAGAATGTAAACAGTGACACTGGAATCGATGGAATACACTTCACTTCCGGGTCCAGTGATCGGAGAAGCCTGCTGATCTCTCCCTGATCACTGCGGGGAGACCCGCTGTGCCCGGGCCTGCACATGGGACAGCAGAGCCCGGGGAAGCCGGCAGCAGCGGAGGGGGTGGGGGCAGCACATTCCACTGAACTGTACAAACGATCCAGCGGCTGTATAGACACCGGATCGCTTGTATCTGAACAGGCATTGCCGGCTGTTTTAAAACGACACCAAGAATAAAGCTGCAGCAGCTGTGTTCTTGGTATAACCCCTGCTGTGGCCCGCCATATATTTACGGCAGCCCACAGAAAGTAGTTAAGGTGGGCCTTTATCCACTTTCACTAAAATCACATCAACGTGCAGCTCTGCATGCGGATATGAAATCACATTCCCTTCAATAGTTAAAGAAATGTAATGCTCTTTTACTTACAATTACTGTTGTCCACTAACTGGTCCTCCCACCAGTGCATTGCTGGGAAATCCCATCTGTAAACTGCAAAATCTTCTGAGATCTCAGTAAAGGGCATTTTCCTCCTCTGAGATGATGTGCATGGTCACATGTCCTAGTCACATGTGCAAGAGTTCCAGGAAGTAAAGGGAGATGGATTCATCTGCCCTTAGTGCAAAATGGCCATCATGGGAAGAATGCAGAGGAACAGAAAAATAAGGCATGTAAAGAAGGACGGGTGCTATATTTGTTAGTGCATTATCAACATCTACTTCCTGGACTGAGATGCTGGCTCAGATAACACTAATATGTATTTCCTTGTGACTGCAGTCCTAGGCTAGATTAAGCCCTCATTCACACTAGAGATGCACCGAAACCGACGTGCTGATACTGGGCGGTTTCATGAAAATGCCTCACTACCAAGTGCCAATATTTAAATGTTCAAATACATTCGGTTGCCGTAAGGTCCCGCACTTGCTGGGGACCTCACGGCAAACTTGTGGGGACCTGAAGGCGGCTGTTTACAGAGGTGGCCGCACATCTCCTCCCTCCCCCGAGAGCCCACGCAGCCCTGGGGAGACAGCGCGCGCAGCCCTGATATCTACCTTTATATTATTCTGCATTGCTGTACAATGTATTGCTGGGATGTGTGTGTTGTAAAGTAGCTACCGCTCCAAGCTCACTCCTGTGATGAGCTTGGAGCGGTGGCTACTTATCCAGGTGTCAGACCACCTCAGAACCCCAAATCATAAAAGGAAAAGTGACACTGATCTCCTCCCCAGAGGTTTTTGAAGCTGAGATGCCCAGACCACCTGTACCAACATTGGCATGCCTCAGTTAATTTGGCAATAAGGCCCCTCTGATCCAATCAGATCGGCTTATCAGTTTTTGATTATAGTCAATGGACTGGGAGATGTAAGCAGATAGGAGTCCATTTACAGCTGACCACCTCTCAGTTCTCTGAGTGAATGTGTTTTTTGTTCGGGAACCTCCATGCATTCCAAAATCGAACGTTAAAAAAAAAAAAAATCAAACATTGGTCAAGTCCCTGATAACATTATAGAACGTTCCGTATGTATGAACGATCATGTGAAAATCTACCAGTGTCAGGGCCAACAAGTTTCAGATACAAGTACACAAAAGACAAGGACTGGCCTTAGATTCCAGGGACCACACACAGCTCACACACACAATAACAAAGTAGGTCTATTACTCTATAGTACATCTAAGGCGCCTAGTGACAGGCACCCAGATAGATGAGAGGACACTCGCTAGCAGCACACGCATTCCCTGTTATGACAATATGAGAACTCACCCTGGCTGGCGTCCTATGCAGCCAGCTCTCCTTCCCGGTGCCTTCTCCGGCTGGAAACTGTCCCCACAGCGATGTGTACGTGTGTCACCTTCCGATAGAGTCCACACCCCCCCCCTCCCTAGGTTGAGTTCTGCCTTCAGGACTCGACAATTACTCCACGGAGCTTCTCACTTTAAATGCGTTGCCAGGCAACCTGGAGGGAGAAGAGGAAGTCACGTGCCTGATAGGAGGCGGTGTTGTAGTCTTCGAGCAGGCAAGGGATGGGGGCGGGTCCTGCAGGCTTAGCTGTCACGTGTGACGGTTCAGATCTTGTTAAATGATCGTCAATGTGTCTGTCTAGGGCTAGGACCTCACACTTGTTTCCAATAATAGAGACCATTGTTTCATCAGACTTGTGCTTTAGAATAGATTGCTCATTATTGTTCATTGTAGCACGACCCTCAAAGCTTGCCAGCTTCAGGACGGCACTTATGTTAATCAGGGGGTCCAGACAATTGTTAGGTAGCCTATTGTTCCTATACATCCTGCTGTGCTGGGCCTGGCTACGTGGCAGCTGTGAATTTGCCTATCAGCTTCATTCACAATTGAATCTTTTTGATTTTATCGCCAGTCATGTTTACTCAAGTCCCAAATATCGGGTTAGGTAAAAGGTGATTGAGTGGTCATGTAAATGAACTCCCTTTAATGTAATCACGTGATCTTTATCAGGCTGCATAGTATTTTCTACATTTTTGCATTTGCTTAAACCTGTTTAGTGACTTCAGTCTGAAGATAACAGTAAGGCTCTGTTCACACCTAGGCGTTAGCGTTTCCGCTCATTTAGCGCTCATTTTCGTCTAGTGTTTTTTTACAAGATGATGTGAGTTATAGCAGCAGACAGACATTGCGGTCAATGGACAAATGCGCACACAAATGTGCAAAACACTGTAATCTGCCCCCCCCCAAAAAAAGCTCATGTACTTTTTCCAGTGCTCAGCGTTTTACTGCTTTCTTGTGTTGAGAGTTTTGTTGCGCTTAGCTTTGAGCGTCCAAACACCTAGGTGTGGCGGACTAACGTTGATCAACACCAGTCGCTGCAGAGGGTGCATTATTTACTATGTGGCCTGTTCACACCATATGCTGCATTTTCCTGCACCTCCCCTCATGTTGGCAGCGGTCACCATGCCGCAACTGATCTGCGCTGAACGCGTATAAATAAAATGTCACTTTAATATTTCAATAAAGTTTAGTCAAAAATGTTAACAGTGCATTGTAACAACGCAAGGCACCCCCCTTTCCACTTCACTGCCGACCTCGAGCCTGAACGCTAAAGCGAGTATGTGAATAAGCCTTACATGTAATCATTTTTCAAAAACAAGTAAAGCTAAGGTCTGAGATTGGAATGGGATTCAGGTTTGCTGCTATCATAAGTTCAAGGCAAATCCTGTATGTTTAAGATTTGCGCCCCGGCAAATTAATGTGCAAATTCGCCCAACAGAATTTTATGTGAAACCCAAATGCACTGCATGGCCCCCTCACTATAAAAAGGGGGAGCACAGAGTAGCCATAGGGGCATATTTATCAAATCTGTTGCACAGCAATGCTAAACAGGAGCATTGAGGTTTGTCATACAAGTCACAGTATGACCATACAATCAACTTTAGATACCAAACCTATGTAATATAAGGATCTACCTGAACTACCCAACCAATTTGTATTCAGTCAGACAGGCTCTTGCACTACATACTTGTTGGGAGATCTGCAGTCAGATTGTCACATGTGTAGTGAGCTTAAGGGTCCCCACACACCTTACGATTATCGTACGATAATCGCGGGAAATCCCGCGATCGTACGATGATCATAAGGTGTGTGGAAGCCGTGCAACCTCTACTACTGTAAGGTCGCACGACTTTAAACTTACGGACATGTTTGAAAACCCGCCGAGCATCGTACGATGTTCGGCGGGTTTGTGGCATGTCCGTACGATAACAGCCGCACGGGCCGGTGTGCGCAAGCGCACACTGCCCGTTCGGCATTGCGGTCATCGGAAGCCCGCCCCTCAGGGGGCGTGGCTTGCGATCATCGCAAGTACGATCTGCCTATGCAACATAGGCAGATCGTACGTTTTTTTAAGTAGCTTACAACCATCGCAAGACAGAAGTCTTGCGATGGTTGTAAGGTGTGTGCCCAGCCTAAGACAGATTGTGAGACAGATGTACTACTACTACTAAGGTTGCAGCTTGAGTCATACCGGTATTTTCCTCCCTCGGCTGTTCTAAAGGGGCCCATACATCTGCCGATTATCGTATCGGCAGGTGTATGGAAGGCGTGTGACCGTTTCTAATGTACGGTCGCACGTCTTTTGTCTTACCAGCATGTTTGAAAACCCGCCCAGAATCGTAGATTTTCGGCGGGTTTGTGTCTGCTTGTAAGACAAATGCAGCAGGGGCCGGTGTGCGCAAGCGCACACTGCCCAATCAGCATTGCAGTCATCGGAAGCCCGCCCCTCAGCAGGGCGGGCGTGTGATGATCACAAGTACGATCTGCCTGTCCAAGATGGGCAGAACATAAGTTTTTTTTAATTACCTTACAAACATCGCAAGACAAAAGTCTTGCGATGGTTGTAAGGTGTATGGCCAGCTTAAAGGTGCCCATACACCTTACGATTATCGTACGATAATCGTATGCGATCAACTTTTCGAACGACAATCGTACGTGTGAATAGAGTGCCCAAAACGACATTACTGTACAATCGTCAAGCATTGACGGTCAAGCATGTTTTAAAACTTTGCTCGATCGTACGATTGTCGTAAGGTTGCTGGCGTTTCCGTCCGTCAAAAGTCGTACGATCTACACTGCACATGCGCGAACGAAAATACGACAAATCAATTACCGCATTTCGTCCAGGTGCTTTTCGTTAATTACGGCTAAATTAATCTTGCGATCATCGGGGCAGGATGGGGCTGCCGTACGAAAATCGTACGACTATTCGATCATCGGACAAAACGTTTCGTGAATGGGCACCTTAAGGCTACATTCACACTAGGTGCGATTAGATGCGTTTATATGCGTTTAAAATGGTTTTCTAAACGCCTATACTGAATATGCATTTAATAATTTCCAATGGATTATTCACACTTTGTGTTTAGATGCTTTTATCTGCAATCAGTTTAGCTGTGTTTAGGAAAAATGGAAGGCAAGTGCGTCCAGGAATCAATTTTAACTTCTAAACGCACCTAAATGTATGCAAATGCAAGACACATTTATTTGCTGAAATCTCATTGGCTACTTCTATGGACAAAGGACAGATGCATCTAAACACATGTGCGTGTAAACGCTTGCCACGGGAGTGGCAAGCGTGAATGAAGTCTAAGGCTCCGTTTACACCTAAGCCCTCGTTCACACCTGAACGTTTTGTAGCGCGTTCTACGCTCGACGAACGCTCTACAAAACGCTCAAACATCTAAATCCCATTGTATTCAATGGGTCTGGTTCACACCTTGGCGTATTTCAGCCCGTCCCTAACGCGCTACAAAACGGCCCACGCCTCAAAAGGTACATGTATTACTTTGAGCCGTTTTTGTTGCGAATCGCGGTAAAAAAACCGCGCGACAGACGCGCATATGCAATACGCCTAGGTGTGAACCAGGGCTAAGTGACAGTGTTACAGGCATTTTCATTTAGGCTTCTTAAAAGAGTTTTTGAGCATTTTTACATGAGTCAATGTACGTTTGTAAAGCGTTTTTCAGCTTGTGCCACCTTACATTTTGTTCCTCAGTGTTTTTTGCATGAGAAGGCCGGTTCTTGTGCGACAAAAGCACAACAAAATGCTTGCAAAACACTTCTGTTGTGTGTTTACAGGCGTTTCCATTGCAGTCTATGCAGCCAAAATCTCAGAAATCTGCAGAAAAACAGCTCATGTACTTTTTCCAGTGATAGGCGTTTTGCTGCAAGCGACATAGTGATCAGGAGTGAACAAGGGCTAATTAAACAAATTCCTTGTGTTCAGCATTTTGTAGCTCCAATTTTCCCAACAGTCCCTCCAGCGCTGGTGCTGCTCTCTCATCCAGCGCAGACTCCTATGTCTTTCTGTGTCCCACAGAGTCTGTACTGCATGCGTGCTCCTGGCTGCGTTCATTCACTTACACTGTGTCTCTACTCTTCTCCCCTCTGGTTCTGATCCGCCCGCACACACTTCCTCCCGCACAGCCATTCGGGAAGCTGGGTTCTACAGCCCGGAGCAAACGGCGCAGTACAGGTAAGCAATTACATATTTGACAACTTTTTTTATTTTTAAATGTTGTGCCATATATCTACTGCTTGCTAGCAGTAGATATATCTAAAAAAAATCGAGACTTTGAGACCCCATTCACACTGAGCGCTGTGTAGCGTGATTTCGGCTCAAAAATCGCTCAATGTAGCTCGTCCAATGCATTTCAGTGGAGCTGTTCACATCTCACAGCTCAATGTCGCCTGTAGCTTGTAGCTCAAGCTTGTCGTACAAACATGACCTATTTTTCCAGCGGCTTTTGTGTAATTTGACTCCAATAGGCTTTGATAGACTGCCAGAAGAATCGGTACTTAGTGCGACAAAATGTGCACTGTAGCTCAATGTCGCTCAGCTCAAATCAGCGCTGAAAAAGCTTTTTTTTTAAAATGTAGCTCAGTGTGAATGGGGTCTTATTCTACTTTAAGTACCAAAGCGATAGAGTAATTATATAAAGTCAGAGCCAGGGGCGTCCCGAGGTCGGGTGTCACCCGGTCTCTAGACCAGGTGACACCCCGCTGTGTAGTCATCTCGCGTGACGTCATCTCACGTGTGCGCGAAGACGTCATCGCGCATGCGCGTCCATCTGATGATGCCTGTTGGCCGCTATCTTGGTGATGGATGCCGGCAGAGAGAGGAGGGGACATTCACCTGGCGGGATGAGGTATCCTGCCGGGTCCCCTCATCTCACCTGACACTGTTGGGCTATCGGTCCATGACCGAGTGCCTGACTTTTTAGAGGGGGGTGACACCAAAATGACTGTCAGTCATTTTAGTGTCACCCCTGCAATGGTGACAACCGGGTGCGGGCCGCACCCCCCTTTTGACGCACACTGGTCAGAGCTCAGTGGTAAAAAGGATGCAATCTTTCTGTAGGGAAGCTTTAAAATATGTCTTCTTCGGGGTAAAAGTTCTCTTATGTTGTTCTGATTGTAATACCCAGTATCCACAATTTTGCTGCTTCTTCCAGACTGGGAATCTTTGTGGAATCTTTATAAAACACTATTGAGCAAACGCAAAGCGCACAGGCATCTTCTGATACCTTCATAAAATCTTTGTTTATAATGATAAAAACTGGTAGCCATAAACATTGTTAATCCTCAATGCACAGAGGAAATCCCTGTAGTAAATCCTATTAAACCCATTGGATCTACAATGTACACAGTTTAGTTCCATTAGGGTTCAATGAGGAGTTAGAGCAGGGGTCTCTGGCCCGCCAGCCGTGCTTTAACTGGAAATCTCATCATTAGTGTTGCAACCTGTCCAGGATTCACCATGGCAGTCCGGGTTTTGAATGCTGTGTCCAGGTTTTATGGCAGCAGAAACCCAGACACAAGATGTTATGCAGACAGGGGCAACCAAAATTAAGGTAGGTGCTACTGGCCCCCCACTGAAAATAGTCTCAACTGTGATATTTACATATGAATGGGTGGAGCTAATTACATATGAATCAGCTACAACTTATTCTTCCAAAAAAAAGTCAGTGCGTCGCTAGAGTGTTTGGGTTTCGCTTGAAGAAAAGGTGGCAACCCTACTCATTGTGCTTCTTTTGGAGTCATACCTGTGGCTGGCAGAGTCCTGCAATGCCTCATGGGACTTGTAGTTCCACAACAGCTGGAGGGCTGGAATTGCTCATCCCTGAGTTGGAGATACATTGAAGGGAATTTATCTTAACTGGAACAGTTGTCCATAGTAACCAATCAGCTTCTACTTTTCATTTGTACATTTTAACTGAACAAATTGAAAAGAGAAGTTTATTAGTTACTATAGGCAACTGCTTTAGATTCCGTGATGAATTCCCCCCATACAGCAGGGTTCACTCGGTCAGGGCATTTGTTCTCTCACACCGTATTTAGCATTTGCCATGACAGGCTGAGTCCGATTAGGTAGGGAGTATAGATTGTTAGCCAGAAGTGACGTATATCTGTAATTATTGTGTGTATATACTGTAAGAACATGGTTCTTGTACACTCTATACTCAAACCTCTAAATACAGGGTAGGGATGGCCCTGTCAGGGTTTGCACATTAACATGTGGTAAAATACATGTCTTACTTCCTGTTACCACCCTGTGAAGATGTGAATGGGGCCTACATTATTTATCCCCTTGAATCAATAAAATCAAAGCATTGAAGGTAAATTAGTCTAATTGATTGCACTTTGCTGCATTTTCTAGCTGGGTGACTATCTCACTATTACAGCTTCACTGTTAAAAAGGTACATTTATCTGGGTGAACTAAATTTGAATTGGTGTAAAAAAACCATTATCCACAGGTGGCGTGTTATGGAAGAATTCTGGAAACATATTTGATCCATTGTTTGCGCATGCCAGTGGATAGCAATACAAGTCAGCTATATTTCTAAAACTATGGTAAAACCCAATGCCTTGTAAAGTAAAAGTATATGCAATATAATGTTTTCATTGTAAAATATCAGTCAATTTGAAGTGTGTCAGTATACATGGTGCACACATACAGCAGCAAGGTTTACCTACAGTATATTACATTTGTATAGGTGACATTATTACTTTGTCAAGCACAGAACAGTAAATGCTGTTTGTCTGAGTAGGAGGTGAACTTGTTGTGCCAGCACTGCACTGGAGATTTTGCAGCCTTTGTTGTTATAGGAATATTGGTTGGTACTTATGAACCTATAGGTGTCAGTTTTGAGTAGATTTCCATTTTTGCTTCTAAGCTACTGTCAAATTACAAGCATCAGCATGCCCTGACTGTGTTGTTTAGAACCACTTTGTTAAGCAATCCCTGGCAGTACACACTGTGTGACTTTATGTGTATTTCCACTTTTGCAGCCAAATTGGGATAACACTTATTTTATATTTGCTACATGTTCCCATTTACATTGCATAAGCTAAAAATAAAAAATAAATGCTTCTTGCAGTTTATATTGCTTTAACGCTTGGTTAGGGTTTTAAGCGTTAAAATGTCTTCTTTCATTTCTTTGGAAATGTTGGGGGCTGTGAGGGGTCTGACGTGGCTTGTCAATTGTATGTTAATGAAGCTAAGCAGATAAACACAATCCTCAAATTCCAGTTCCAGGTCTTTCTATAAGGACAGACCACTGTGAAAGGGCTAAGAAAAACCCGAAATCAGCCATCTTGCCTGCTTTAGTTAAACATCTAAAATGTGAGATTTTTTTTTTAAAGTTAATTTTCAGTATGCTGTGTGAAAAGGAACACTTAACAGACATATGCATTTTACTGCAAAAGTGGAAATACACTTTAAAGTAGCAACAATTTCCTATATATAGTTCTTGTGAAGTTCCTGTATGCAGTGAGCAGTTTAGTGAATGCATGTTAAACTTGCCATTTATTTTTTTTAAATCAGATCCAGATAATTTTTTTTAAAAATCAGATAATTTTTATTAAGTTTTTCATGTTTAAAGTTTTTCTTTAAACAGACAACATAAAGGAAAAATATATAACACAAATTAATATGAAACAACCAAAACCAATAACAACACGAAAAAAATAAAATAAACCCCACATCCAGCATATGCACATATCGATAAAACAGTATCCAGGAACTAATCATTTTATTATAATTTGTAAAGTATATTTGAATACTGCCTGTTCTAGCAAGGGGTAAAAGGAGTACAATCCTGTTTTCTACATTGTGTGTTAATTAATGATGCTAATGAGAGAAACACAATACACAAATTTCATTACTAAGTCTTTCTATAAGAACAGATCACTGTGAAGGTTCTCAGAAAAACGTGGATTTAGCCATGTTGCTTACTGCAGCAAAACATCTAAAAGGTAAGAATTAAAAAAAAAAATTATTCTGTGTGAATGGAAACCCATGACAAACATATAGAGATGTTTTCTCCAATTTGACTGCAAAAGTGGAAATGCACTTTAACCCTTTCGCTGCCAAGGACGTATGGCATACGGACCTACAAAAGTGCTTCCAGCTGGCCAGGTCAGTATGCCATACGGACCTGGCATTTACAGTTCTACTATAAGCTGATGGTCGCTTTAGCGACCATCAGCTTATAGTATAACTGTTCTTTGCAATTAAATATACACCTGTATCATTTTATCACAACACAAACACCAAAACAATTTTTTACATAAGTCGATTATTTACAGTTTTGCATACCTTCATTTTTTTACCTTTTCGCAAAAAGGCGCAATTACAAATTTGCTAATATTTGTTATTTATTAACTCAATACAGTTTTATCTTTTAGATTTAGTCAAAAAATTATTTTTTTGTGCACGGATACTGATTTTGGTGTGTTTTAACAATTGAATTGTGTATTTTTGTAGGAGTCACATAGTTTGCATAATACAAGTGATCGGGCGTCTCTAAGATGCCCGAACGCTTGTATGTAAACAGAAATCGCTGGCTGTTTACATTCCAAGCCGATTTAACGCCCACCCGCATCCAAGAAGCCACAGTCCGGCGGTTTAATTACAATGGCCAGACAGCAGATGGTTAACAAGAAATTGAATGTAACAATTCTAGAGAAAGCTAGAGGAAATTACCAGATACATGTAACCATTGCTAACAAGGGAATTCAATCCACATAGTATTAATGGTTACATTAATCTGCTAATTTCCTCCAGCATTCTCTAGAATTGTTACATTGTACCTCTTGTTACAAAGGTGTATTTATTTCCTATGACCCTTAGCTGCATCTAGTGGCTATAATGAAATATTTTCCCAATTCACTAATGCTAATAATATTTGAATAACATTCAACCAGAAGAGAAAATTACCTAAGAACATTATATTAAAACCTTCATTTTACATCAATTTTTCCTATTTTTTCTCAGAAGTGAGAGGATAGCTTTCCAGTGTAGGTAGGGACCACTTGGGGAAGGGGGAGGAGTCCGATCGCCGACAGGACTTCCGGAAGCCGGCGGAGAGGTGAGTGTTTTCATTAGTGATCAAAATAATTTTAATCGATCAAAAAGTTTAACGATTAATCAAGAAATGAATCTTTAATTTCCACAGTCCTAATAAAAACCTTATAATTCAGGAGATTTTTTTTTTTAAAGAACTCTGGGCAGAAATGTTATTAACCCTTGCAGTGGGGTAGCCACACTGCAAGGGTTTACTTCTTGTTTTTGGCTAAGGTAAAAAAAAAAATCTTCAGAGCCGCCACGTTCTTAGACCGGCCCTTCAAGCATCTCTTCCCCTACACCTCAGTGTTCTAAGGATCCTCGAGTCATCACGTCCAATACAGTGTATAGGACATGAGGATGCTGAGGGACATACCACCGCTGCAGCAGAGGAGACAGGCTGGAGGGAGTGCTGCCAGCTTGGATGATCAGGTGAGTACAACTTTTTTTTTTTTTTTTTACCCTAGGAAAAAAAAAGCAGAACACACACACTGCAAGGGTTAATAAAATTTCTGCCCAGAGTTCTTCTTAAAATTCCACACTCCCTATGTGGGCCTTCAATTCCATCAAATAGCATAATCGATGTGATAAACATTACTTTTTGTCAACCCCATCCGAGTTATTAAAATTTAACACAATATTAAAACCACCATTTTAGATCAGTTTTCATTGTTTTCTGTTTGCACTCACAACAGTTTAGAGGGAAATTTGAATCGCCGCCATGTACCTAACTAATCTATATTACCTCTCCAGTTCTTCTTTATTAGCCATCCTTCTATTTTTCCTTATTTCTTGAAATCTTTCTGAAGTTAATGGAAACACATGTTGGGTGTGGGTTGTAGGAATCAGAACTTTAGCTAGGTGGAAATATCACAAGCTGGACAAAAAGATGTCAGGAAATAATAAAGGAAACCCTGAGATAATAAAATGAGTAGTTAACCTTTCAATGGGGAGGGGTAACCACTGCAAGAGTACATTTCTTCTCCAAGGTTCAGGAGTAAAGAAAGAGATTTTGATTTCTGCTTTAGCCTTAAGGTGAACACACACCTTGCGATAGTCGTACAATAATCGCGGGAAATCCCGCGATCGTATGATTAGCGCAAGGTGGGTGGAAGGCGTGCAACAGTTTTTACTGTATGGTCGCACGACTTTTATCTTAGGAACATGTTCGAAAACCCGCCGAGAATCGTACGATTGTTGGCGGATGTCTTTCATGTTCGTACGATAAATGCCGGACGGGCCCATGTGCGCAAGCGCACACTGCACGTTCAGCATTGCGGTCATCGGAAGCCCGCCCCTCAGCGAGGCGGGCTTGCGGTTATCGCAAGTACGATCTGCCTGTCCAAGCCTGGCAGATCGTACATTTTTTTTAATTACCTTACAACCATCGCAAGACAAAAGTCTTGCGATGGTTGTAAGGTCTGTGGCCAGCTTTATGTATAGTTTGATATGAAAATTAGTGATTTTACAGTCCAAGATGTGCTTTTTATGGCTGTCTCGTTAAACCGTACAAGGTTCAGCTGTTGAAAGCATTGTTAATTTAGGTTTGGTCCATGTATACCTTTTCTATAAGATGCAATATTGCGAATGGCCAGTAGAGTACGCACACAGTCTTTACATAGAACAGAATGCATAATCATAAACCAAACAGATTGATAGGATGATGTTTTCTAATCCATCTGAGTGACTGTAAATTGTATTTTTACTTTTAATGTTAGAAACTATAAAATTGTTATAGGCATCAATTGTTATCAGGATTAACAATATAATTTTTACTCTATAGACATTTTAAATTAGAGAGTAACTGCCAGTAAAGAGAACATTTGTGGTTTGAAATTAAGTGGCACAAACTATATAATGGTAAATAAGATTGGAAATAGTCCTAATCCCTCCTAGCTTCCTTCTCAACCTTATAGATGACTTCGTTGGGCCGCCTCGTAACTCCACGAGATGTTGAAAGGTGATGCGAGGAATCTCACACTGCACTGTTGACCTTCTGTTGTCTTGTACCAGTCTTGCCACTCTCCGTTCTGCCCTAACATTGACTAGTCGCTGACGGCCACAATTCGGACGTTCAGACCCAGATTTGCGGCTGACAGTCCAGTCTTTAAACACTTTAACAACAGCTGCTCTTGAACATTTAAAGAATGTCAGTCAGTGCTGTAGGATTGGAGTGGGGAGGGGGGGGAGGAATCCCTGCAGGGAGCCGTGACTAAGACCCCGTTCACACTTAGCTGTTTGTTGTGCGATTTCCGCTCCGAAAATCGCACATATTTCCGCGGGATATCGCTCTATGTAGCTTTTCCAATGCATTTCAATGGAGCTGTTCACATCTCACAACTCAATGTCACTCAAGCTTGTCGCTCGTACATGGCACTTTTTTTCGGCGGATGTCGCGTGATTCGGCCCCAATAGACTCAATGGTGTCACACAAAGTTGCGTATTACCGGCGATATTGCACGACCTTGTCACGTGATATCGCGCTACAGAAGGGTCACTTTTGCACTGCAAAATGGAAGGAAAGGATGATGTCACATCAAGACCGCTGTTGATTGGTTACAGCCCAATGTAGCAGCGACGAAGTCCCTCCCAAAAGTCGCGCTACGTAGCGCGATAAAATGAGCACTGTCGCTCAATATCGCGCATTGCATCTCAATGCCGCTCAGCACGGAACTGCATGGAAAAAACGCGCGATTCAGCATGTCGCTCAGTGTAAATGAGATCTGACAGTCACTGCTCTCTGCAGGGAGATGGTCGAGAAGTGAGTGAGCGACGTTATGTGTTCACTCACTTCCCGATCTATTGAGCCGACCTGTGACAGTTTCATTGTCACACGTTGGCTCGAACTCTACATGATGTCGAGAAAGCCTTTATTGTCACCTATAAATAGTGATGGCCTGAACACACCTGAGTTTGGTTTTAACTCGAACTTTCGAACATGGAAAAAGTTCTAGCTCGAACTTAGAACTCTATGAAAGTCTATGGAACCAGAACTCGGAAAATCAAATGTCCCCATTTTGAAGTCTTATATGCAACTTATTGGCCATAAAAAGTGTATGGGGAGTCGGGTACTGCCCTGGGGGACATGTATCAATGAAAAAAACACTTTTAAAAAATACCGTTGTAAAAGGAGCAGTTATTTCAACATTGTTTAAAGTGAAACAATAAAAATGAGAAATTCCTTTAAATATCGTGCCTAGGGGTCCCCTTAAACTGCCTGTAAAGTGGCACATCTGTACAATGTATAGAGCCTGCTGCAGCAAAACTGACATTTATACAGAAACAAAATGACATTTAAATTGCCTGTAATTGGTTTTCCCTTGATCTTGTAAACAACTGCTTGGGGAGGCAGCCTGTATGAAGAGGCCACATGTTAGGACACTGAGAAAAAGGTTAGAAATTTTTTGGATACATTCTGGTATCTCTTTTGCAGACGTTGGATGAAAGTAACAACAGGTGCTTTAAAATTGGGCCTTTAGTGTTGGTGGTGCCTTTATACTGTAACCCTCAGAGTTATTCTTGATGAGTACAGGATTGGACCCTGCTCTAAAAATTCAAAGCATATATACCTGTCACACCCGTGTGTAAAAAATGGGCCTTTGGTGTTGGTGCCCCCACACTGTAACCCCTCACAGTTAAGGTGCCCATACACCTGCCGATTATGGTACGATAATCGGCAGGTGTATGGGCAGAGTGCGACCTCTTCTACTGTGAGGCCACACGACATTCGTCTTCCGAGCACGCTTGAAATCCTGCCGGAAATCGTACGATTTTCGGCGGGTTAGTGGCAGCGCACAGTGCCCGCTCAGCACTGCAATCATCGGAAGCCCTCCTCTCAGCGGGGAGGGCTTGCAATGATCGCAAGTACGATCTGCCTGTCCAAGATGGGCAGATCGTACGAAATTTTAATTAGCTTACAACCATTGCACAACGAAAGTCGTGCGATGGTTGTAAGATGTATGGCTAGCTTTACTCTTGATGGGAGCAGGAATGGGCCGTGCCGTTAAGAAATTCAAATTATATGCATCTGTCACACACGTCTCCTTGTTGGCCTTTCAGACATGATGTGGGGCTTATTATAAAATTATTATAACATTTTATTAGAGAATGTGGGATGGGAAATTGGTGCTTGGGTGCAATTCTTAATTGAATGTGGTACGTGGTGCCACAAGAAGAAAAAAACGGAAACACATGCGACGCAGAAGGCGGAACACCTGCGACACGGAAGGGGGAACATCAATGAAGCAGCTGCTGAAAAAAAAGAAAAAAAAATGTAAATTAAAAAACAAAAAAACAAAAGAGGAACATTGGTGACGCAGAAGGAGGAACACCAGTGACGCCACGGACACGAAAAAAAATAAAATAAAAGACAATGAATATACAGCACAGACAATAATACTATTTACAGTACAGAGTACTGTATATAGCACTAAACTGCTATATAAATCACTGACTCCAGTTCTCTTTCCTTGCACTACACTATACTATACTACACTGTACTACAATAGACTACAATAGAATCTCTCTTTAACTCCAGCAACACACTACATAAGGCTGCGGTGTAAGCAGCCTTTTATAGTGTGAGCCTGGGACATAGCTGTGAGCCCTGATTGGCCAAAGTCATCAATACTTTACCCAATCATGGCTCTTAGAGTGCACTGTGCCGTGATTGGGCAAAGTCTTTTGCTCCTGCGGTCAGGTGCATTGCTTTACCCAATCAGGGCTTCACAGGGCACTGTGCGGTGCCCGCCAAAGGCTCTGATAGTTTGTGTGTTCGCCGAATGTTCTGCTGTTCGACTCAAACATCGAGCCCATCACTGATCATAAACTCAATAGGTCTAATGCTGCTCTGGAACAAGCCTATAACATTTTAACTTGATGGTACAAATACCCTTGTACCCTACATAGTATCTTCCCTACAGTGTTGCCTTCCTGTTGATGCAGCACGCTGGAAGGCACAATGCTGCATATCTGGTGGACAGGCCCGGGCATTGCTGTTTTTTTGGGACTCGGTCTTTGATCTATATCACAAGGAAATGGGCTCTTAGGTATCAAAATCACCACAAGTGGCCTTACTGTCCATCTTACCTGGCACCTATTCAAGCATCTCAAATAATCTTCTTCGCTCCTTCTTAGCTGCTGCACACACTGCCATATCCAGTTACTGGGGGATGTCCACTACACCCTACCTTCAAGACTGGACAGAGGAATTGATGTGGCCTCATGCAGTTCAAACACCTCACAGCCTATCTCTATAATACCCAGGAAAAATATATTTTGCTATGGAACCTATTTAAGGAACTTGCAGCTTTTAAAGGTGGTCTCCCATCCTAATGTAGATGACACATGGAATCTCTGTTGTATTGTGGTGCTCTTCATTGGATTTA